GACAAAGAGGTAATTTTTATTCATTGCGTTTTCAACTAGCATTTGCTAATGAGGTTTTATTACAAATTTAGTGTAGAATAAACTTACATTTAAGAAAAACAACTATATAGATTGCATAAAATCTGCAGAAATGAGCACTTATATATGTTCTGTAGCTTTACACAGCCACCCAAATGCTACGTGCCATAATTAATACACCTTCCTGAGAAGGTTAAAATCAACACTTGATAATTGGTAGCTCTTTGCAATTGGTCGCACCTAATCTATGGTGCATCAGCATTTTGTAGCAAACCTTTAGAAGGACCAAAATGTGGTGAGATCAAAAACACAGATCCCTCAATCACGAAGCAACTCCGAATTGGTACGTGGTAATGGCACTGAATGATATTCTCCTTTATGATTCCAATGTAACAATTTTGAAACTCTGGTGAAGGTGTTTTTCTCCTGCAGGGGACCAAGGATACGACGATGCAAACCTGAACTAACTTCTTTTTTCTTGGTCTCAGTATCTTTCCCTTCGTTTGCTTGAGAAGCATTCTCTTTCTCTTCAGTGCTCTTTGTTGTAATTTTTAACTTTTCACCAAAGGCAGCAAAAAAATCCTCAAGCTTTTTACCCTTCCCTTTAGTTTCACCACCACGCTTTGATTGTTTTCTCAGTGGTGGTGCAGTTCCCGGGTCGACATGACCACTTGATTTGCCTTTTCCCAGCGCATCCGATCCTTCATGATGATGCTTTCTTGGATTTGCTTCATCCTTGGAGCTTTCTGTATTGCTGCTATTGGGGGGATGACTTGAACTAGACGCAACGTTAGCATGTGGCTTTACAATGAAATCCATTAGCTCGATATGATCATCGTGTTGCATGCGGTAGTCTTCCCTCTTACTCAATTCCAGGAAGAGGCATTTCGCAACATGTTTATCTGAAAAATTAGCGACGGCAAGGCTTACTGTCCTCTCTCCATTGTGAACCTCAATCCCTTTATACTCTACTTTGAACATAGTATCTGGGGTTGTTAAAAAACAGATTCTGGTTTTAGTTACAGCCATATTGGCGACCAACTGTAAAAGAATAGGGTCATCCAATTTGTTTGTAGTTGTTCCTAATTTGATTTCAAGACTTAAAANACATAATAATTCATACCAACGCGACATTTATTATTCATACTAAAGCGACATAAATTTTTCAAACCAGTGCGACAAAAATTTCATACTAATACGACATAAGATTTCAAACCTTACTTGTAGTGTGGTTGCAGTAAAAGCAGCAAGCTAGTGCTTTTAAGGCTAATATATAGATATAGACTTAGAATAATCCACTTAGAAAGTGGGTAGAGAATTCTGTTATTGTCGTGCTGCATAAATGAATAGGGTCATCCAATTTGTTTGTAGCTGTTCCTAATTTGATTTCAAGACTTAAAAGGATCTCGTCATCAGTAACATCTTTCNCCTCACCACCGAAAAATCTGGTCTCTTCAGCACGTTGGTGTTGGAATGACTAATACTCTCTAATTTTTCTTGACAAAGTTTCATCTGGTAAAATGAAAAGATTGAGATTAAAAACGTACGGGCCAAGCGACTTGACCAAGCACTTTCAACATATGCCGTGTTTTCATCAGTTGGGAGAGAGAGAACACCGGTAATTGAAACCTTTTCTTCCGTGTCCCTATTTCATTTGATACTATATTAAAGCCAATTGTGCAATAATTCTCTCAAAGACAAACAAAATAAATGTCGCATTCGTATGAACAATTATGTCGCATTGGTATGAAATAAAAAATAAAAACACAGTAAATATACGTAGGTGTGTGGGATATTAGAGTAGGTGCAATAACATCAGCAAAGGGTAGCGCAAGTGTGTAATTGATTTTGCACCGATCAACTTTCTTACGCGCCACCTTTGTGCCCCAATACATCCAATCATGTCCACTGATATAGACTACAGTCGTCTCAAGGACGACTTGATAATTGAGTATGCTAAAAAGAGATTAATTATTGAAAAGAAAGCTGCGGCTTCGAATCTTTCCGAAGTACAGCGATCAATGTCTCTTCAAATGATGAAATCGATCTACACGCACTTGAACTGTTTGGAATCTTACGAGAACGCCAATTCATTAGATAAAGCTCTCGATGCAATAGATTTAGCCAAAATTTACGAAAGTGTCGACCGTCGTGAACAGGAAAAAACCAATACCAAGTTGAATTACGACGACTTTGTGGTTCTTGAATTGCTACGATACTTTAAACATGATTTCTTCAAGTGGGTAAATTCCCCCTCATGTCCGTGTGGCTCCACGGATGTACTGACCGTTGGCGTCAAACGTCCCGACTCTGCCAATAATCCCGATCAAATTTCCATCATTGAAATCCATCAATGCCAAAAGTGTCATCATCAAATTGAATTCCCACGTATAAATAATCCCGTATCGTTGCTCCGTACACGCACAGGTCGATGCGGGGAATGGGTCAATTGCTTTTTGTTAATCTTGACAGCTTTGATTGGAGAAGGCAAGGATAGGATCCGGTACGTGTGGAATAATGAGGATCACGTATGGTGCGAGTATTATTCCTCGGGCTTGAGAAGATGGGTCCATTTGGATCCGTGCGAGGGTGTATTCGATGAAACATTATTGTATTGTGACAACTGGGGGAAACGAATGTCATATGTTATTGGATTCAACAAGAATAGCGTGGTCGATTTGAGCAAAAAGTATATAACCAAGGACAAACAAATTGATCAACTGCTGGTGGCTGATCCTTCAAAAGTGGAGAAAGTGATTACATATTACAATGTGAAGAAAGCAGACGACTATCTTACTCAGTCAAAGTCAATATATTCGGAGAGGGAGCTGTGGAAAGCATTGTACACGGATGTATTTGTTCCAAGAAATTTAGAACGTGGTGAGTTGAGGACCGAAGAAGAAGCAACTGTATCATCTGATTTACCCAAAGGTCGTCAAACAGGGTCGGTGGAGTGGACAAAAGCTCGTGGTGAGGATGGATAGATACATAGATTGAATAAAGTGAATGGAACTTGCATAGCAGTATTTCAGTGTAGCTTGTATGAGCTTAACTATGTATCATGTGCAAAGATATAATTACGGTGGTAAAACATCTGTATCTTTTTATCTCAAATAGGTCCCTTGGCCCAGTTGGTTAAGGCGTGGTGCTAATAACGCCAAGATCAGCAGTTCGATCCTGCTAGGGACCATATTTTTTTTGGACCTTGAAAACTTTGCCTTTTAAGAAGTAACCTCTTTACTTTTTACCACTTCTTATAGCTCTACTTCCTGATTGGCTTTCTAGATTAGTTTCAGCTCTCTCTCTCTCTCAATAAGCTTGTTTTATTTTATGCGTGAATTAATTGTGTTTTGAATCTTTGAAGAATGTTTATATTTTTGCGGCAAAATGGCAACAATACTTAAGGAAACTGCACCTTAGTCCATTCACATATCAAATACAAGATCTCTAAAATATTATCTCCATTGAAGTGGACTTATAGAGAGGGCACTTGTATTGCCGAAAACTAACAAATAGTTCGGTTACCACGTTTCGTCTGTAGTATTGTCCTTGGCATAACAAATTTCATGGCCAAAGATACACATGCACATCTCTGTGATTCAATAGATTAAAGCAAGGTGTTACTGCTTCATATGCTGTAGAACTTGTCAATAGTTTTGAATGAGACAGAGATGGTAACACCACTTTTGGTTCTTGCAAGATTAACTTTTCTTTGAAAGGGTCATCTTTTTACAACAAACTTGGCAACCACTTTTTCATACAAACAAATCACCACTCGTCCTGACACATCACATCACAAGCAAGCATACTGTTAGTGTTTGCCATATACATATATAATGAAAAGATATAGACGAGCGGCCCGTAATTCAAGAGCAGCAATACTTGGCTCTCACGAAGATTTCTTTGCAGAGAATGCTAGCTTTGATGAGTACCTCCGTGCTAGATATAGCCAAAATATGCTTACCGATGAGGCAGCTCTAACTGCAAAGAGAAAAAAGAGACACAGGGCAACTCAATTCTTAAAGAGGTACCTTCAACGCATTTTTCATATAAAGTTTGCCCAGAAGAGGACTCAAGCTATTTATCCTGTCATCGGAAACGCCGCTGATATCCCCGATTATGAGACCATCGTCCCAGCACACCATGTCACGACCCCAATGGCAACATCTCCAGTTTCGATTCGTCTCATTAACAAGGTCAGAGGTGGGATAAGGATTAAATCCTCAGACACAGTTTACTTGCTTTCTCCGGTGTCAGACAAGTCTTCAGTCAATTCGCTATTTGAAGATGACCACGTTTCGCTCCGGGGTACTGGAGCCACAACTGCTGATTCTAATATTAATGTATTGTAGTGTATGTAGCTTCGATAGATAACTGGCAAAGATCAATGTCGAAGCCAAAAAAAAAAAAAAAAAGAAAAATACATCGACTGCTTCAGTCACACGCGTCCCTGCAATTGCAAATCAGCGGAACAGACAGCGTTGATAGAACCACCACCAGAATCACAATTATATGAAACGACAAAGTATAAAGATTTCTCGATCACCATGCATTCACGAAAACCATTCTTAGGACTAACGTTTTGCTGCACAGGGGTCGAGACAGCTACGAGAAACGAGATCATGAAGATTATAGAATCAATGGGAGGTGTACAGTACCTAGATCTCATGTCGGATGTACAATACCTTATTGTCGCCAACAGGAAAACCCAGAAATACCAATTCTGTGTCAAGAATCGAACAAACATGAAGTATCTCACGAAAGATGCCATATTCAAAATCCACGATCAATGGTTAGCGGGTGATGACAACGTGGAGAAATTGCTAGAGGAACACACACTACCAATATTCGGCGAAATAAGAGCTTGCTTTTCCCGAGTTGAGCCACATTCATCTCAAGTCACGCATCTACTCAGCGCTAGTTTTAGGAATGCACGGGCGGAACAATTCACTGAGTCGCTGCTTCAAAAACAGTTTACCAAGAATGGGGGCCATGCCAAAGAATCACTACTGAATGATCAGCACTGCATGATAAGTGCGGAACCAAGGGGAACGAGGTACAACAAAGCAGTGGAATGGGGCATTCCAGTTATACATCCTGTTTGGATCATTGATAGCTTACTACGAGGGGCGGCTTTGGACTTTGACGATTATTTGTTGACAACAGATGCAGAGGAGATGTATGAAAACGGGTGTAATGTTTGGCAAGAGCTTGGGAATGGAGAGAAGAGACTTGTGACGAAGCAATTAATTGGAGTGCCAGTGGAGGGACCAAGGAAGCTCAATCGTGGTAAGAGGACAGAAATATGGAACTCGATTATGGAGCATACAAATTATGAGGGAAAAGGATCGATGACCGACAAAACTTGGGACGAAGAAAGTGACTCTGAGAACAATGAGGAAATTGAATATGCAAAGCCTGTTGAAGCAAAGAGTCGAAGCAGTCTTTTTCTTGGATTCAAGTTTCTTTTGGTTGGGTTTACTGCCAGAGAGTCTGATTTGTTGAGCGGTGGAATAGAAGCATTCCAAGGAGTGATTACGACTGATGTTGGTGACAAAACCACGACTCATATTATTGTTCCCGCAAGTAAAGGAAGCGATACGTCCAACTTGTTGCGAGCTATACCTAGTGGCATCAGACCGTTGATTACAAGTGGAGATATCAAGGTTGTTACTGAATTTTTCATTGAGAGATGCATTTTTTACAAAAAGGTGGTTTTGGACCGATGGGGCCAGCCTATCAAAGGATTGCTTGCTTCCTCAAAGAGGTTCAAGGTATCTACCTCAGGATTCACTGGTATTGAGTTGTTGCATATAGAAAAGCTCATCAAGTTTTTAAACTTTGAATACTGTGAATCCTTTTCAGAGCAGCGGGATTTACTAATTCTCAATGTCAACTTATTCAAGGAGAGTTTTGTGAAAAACTTGCCCAAATTGTTTCAATACCCAAACAAGGACGTACTCAATTGTCCCACTTACCAATCGGGCCAGTCCTCAGTGTCGTTGCTATCAGCAAAGAACAAGATCGAGGCAGCGAAAAAGTGGAGTATTCCCATTGTGTCAATCGCTTATTTGTGGGAAATATTTGAAAAATCTCAATACAAGTCAGCATTGGTTATGGTCGAGTTGAATGATCCGCAATGGTGTGTCCATGCTCCGATTAATTATATTCGACCAAAGTCATTGATTGAGTACATCAGGGACATGGATAGGTCAATCAATAGCGAAATGCGCAAAGAGAGTGAAGACGCGATAAGACTACCATCACCGAGAAAGGCTAGACAAAGGCAGAAATACGGAAAGTTGATGGGAAGCGTGTCGCCGCTGTCCATGAAGAGCAGGATCATGGATGTGGCCAAGAGTTCGATGACGTCAAGGTCAACTATAAATATTGACGGTGAGGATGAGAATGGAGAAGGCACGGAGAAGGGTGGTATAAACTGTGACGTTACAAACGACGAAGAGCTCTCGTCTCAAGTGAGGTATGATGATTCAGAATCGACCATCAATCAGGAGCGCCTATTAAAGAAGTTGGAAGAGGAGTCGCCTCAGTACAAGCGTGAAATGACTGCAAAAGGTAGCGCCACAAAACGCAGAAAAACAAGAGGGCAGTAGCCCTAAATACACAAATAGACATGATTGGGATTGCATTTTTTTTTCTTTCTTTCTTTTACAATAAACACTATTGGGCGGCATTTACGGTTTTCATTATTGTGCATTGTTTCGTTAAAGAGCATATCAGAGGTGGTAAATTAATCCTCAGGAGCATAGAAATTTAGACACACTACTTAGTTAGAAGCATTTGAATATAGAGAGACTCGCCTTCTGCTGAAGCTCAAATGTTTTTCACCTTTTATCCCTACAATTGCATTCTGCGGTCCCGAATAGCCGCAAACAGACTGTCAAGTGGAGCTGAACCAGATTTCCCATGAAAACCTGTGCTTTATATTTTTTACTTCTTTTTTTTTTTTTTTTTTTTTTTTTTTTTTTTTTTTTTTTTTTTTTTTTTT